GAGAACAGTGCATAGGCAGGTCAAGTTTCTGGTGATCTGTGAGATGATTCACCTTGCCTAAACTTGTTGATTTCCTCAGCATTCATATATCTTTGAGCTTTTGTGAATAGTTCTGGCATGCTCTTCGGTGGGCGCTTCAGAACCGAGAAAAAGAAACTTGATGAACGGAGGCCACCCAAGAAAGCGGTCATCGTCACCTTGTCGTCGGGTTCATCAACTTGGAGTACCTCCTCGTTAAAACAAGTGAGGTAACTCCTCAGGCTCTCCTCGCGGTCCTGCTTTATACTAAGCAGGTGCGTAACTGGCTTCTGGTGGCGACGCCCTCCTATGAAGTGTGAGACGAATGATCTGCTAAACTCGGCGAAAGAGGCAATAGAGGCGGGGGAGAGCTTAGCAAACCACTGTCGGGCAGACCCCTTTAATGTGGTTGGGAATGCCCTGCACATGATTTCGTCTGGTACGTTGTGCAATTGCATCAAGGTCTTGTAAGTGTCGAGGTGGTCCAGTGGATCCTTTGTTCCATCAAAGGTCTCCACAGATGGCATCTTGAACTTCTAAGGGAGGGGGTAGTTCGCTACATCAGATTTGAAAGGGGTATCAGTACGCCTTACCAGGTGGTCAACAGTCTCGGGTCCCTGTGCCTTCATGGCGTTGAAGACATCACCGAGTTGATTTTGTACCTCCTTTATTTTCTCGTCCCAATGATTGGGGGCTCCTCTGGAATGATCATGGAAGTGGCTTCCATGCCCCATGCTTTGGTTTTCACCCTCATCCTCCTGGAGATAAGGGTCCTCTTCCTGGAAAGCAAGGGGAGGGGGAGGTGCAGCTCCCTCATGTTGGGCTTCCTGAAGTGGGGTGCCCAATGGGGCACCCGGGGCGTGGAGCAACAGGGCGTGGTGCTCCTTGATGCCCAGGATGTGGAGCTCCTTGTGGTGCTCTATGTTGTGCACCTCTGTGGGGCCCTCCATGTTGTGCACCTCCATGTGGTGCTCCACGTTGGGGTCCTCCATGTTGTGCACCTCCGTGTGGTGCTCCTCCTTGGGGTCCTCCATGTTGTGCACCTCCGTGTGGTGCTCCTCCTTGTCCAGCAAGTATGAGTTGCAGTAACTGTTGATTTTGAGCAACCAGTTGCTGCATGGTCTCCAATATTTGTTGGGGATTCGGGGCTAGAGTATCCGGAACAGGGTTGATAGGCGGGGGAGCAACCTCTTCCTCTCGTGGAGGATTGTCTTCGTGTTGGTTCATGGATCGAGTAGTGATCGCCATTAGTTAATGGACGTAATGTTCAGGAGTGAGAATTTTGTCGTTTCCCACAGACGGCGCCAAACTGATGATGCACAAAAATGATTTTGCACACCACCTGTCAAGTATAGATAATAAATGCAATGAAATCAACGAAAAAATTAGAGAAGACACAATTTATAGTGGTTCGGTCAATTCGACCTACGTCCACTCTTCAATGGCTTCAGTCGCCGGGTATTTTATTGATTCAAAGGTATGGAGAATGGAGATACAAGCTTTGAGAGGGGGAATGGAGAATCAAAGAAAATAATAATCTCCGGTAGTCGGTTCGTCTTCTGTAAGTCTCTGATGGAGCATGTGTCCTTCCTCTCCCAGATTAGAGCCATTTTATAGTAGCTAAGAGATCATTCTTGTGGAGATCATAACATATCCTCAAGGCTTCTTTATCGCAGCTTAGAGATTATCTTTGGTGGAGATCACGACTTATCCTCAATGGAAGGAGGAGGTTGGGGAGCTCTTCATGAAACGTGGTCAAAGATTGGTCCGTTTCCTTCCTTCGGTGGTGCGGATAAGCTTCCCGTGCTCTCCTCTTGGTGACGTGCTAAGCAAGAAGTCTAATCGGCCTTGGGCTGTCTTGGACTTGGTGGATTTGGACTGTTTCCTTTGGCGGTGCAGATAAACTTCCCGTGCTCTTCTCTTAGTGACGTGCTAAGCAAGAAGTCTAACCGGTCTTGGACTGTCTTGGGCTTGGTGGAATCAAAATGAGGTTGGGCTCCTCAACTGGGGTTGGACTTTAACACATAAATTGGACTATTTGGGCTTAACCCATCAGAATTTATCATAATATTAGAGCTAAAATAGAAAATCAATTTTTTTTCATAATTCTGACATTTATAAGTAGTATAGATATAGATATAAATTATTTCTTAAACTATTATATGTTGGTTTATTTTTATGGAGTCTAGTTTGTATATGTGATCCGGATGATGACCCAACCCGAAATAATGTTGTGTGGTTTTTAATGGAAAATTTTCTGAGGCTTAGTCCATGGAGCGAAGGCTTGGGCCGAAATTTTTTTGGGCCCGTTATACAGTCCAGTGCGTAGGACATATAAACCCTGTTGTTTTGGTGATTAGGGTTAATCGTGTATGGTACAGCCGCTCTTTGTATTCAACTCTCTCAATAGTGAAATCCCTGCAGCTTCGTGGACGTAGGCAAATTGCCGAACCACGTAAAATCTGTGTCTTGTTCTTTCTTATTTCTTATTGCTTTATATTCTTGATTTGTTCTTCGATTGTGTGTGTTTGTTAGTGGATTCAAATCGTGAGAAATCCCAACATTATATTTTTTATATTATACTATTTATTATGTGATTAATTTCACATCAACTAAACTATTAACGTCTATTAAAGATTTGAGAAATAACTATTTCATTTGATCTCTCACATAATGTAATTTTTTTATAGTGCCCTGACACTTTTATAATTTTTGGCTAAAAAAATTGTGAATATTTTTGTCTGGGACAATATGAAATAATTTAAGTAGTTGAATAAATAATATAAAAAATTTAATTATTTTTAAAAGACAAAATAAAATAGAGTTCATAATTTAAGAAATCAATGTCTAATTTATCCCAATAAAAGCTAGCGTGAATTCTACAATAAGGTAAATCCCTTGGTCCCACCTTATCGATACATATCAAATGATGATTTTATGATTTTTATTTCACAGTTTAATCTGAGAATTAGGGAAGATCAGTCTTTGGCTATTTTTGTTACCTCCGTTTGCAAATTATTCTGTTAATTTCAGTGTTATTTTATAATTTTTAGTAAAAATTATTAAAAAATATAAATTCCGTACTTAATTTATCGATAAGTCCAGTTGTGTATTTTTTAAGACATGAGATTCAGCTCTGTTGAATTTTTAAGGTGAGAGGTCAAACTAATTTTTCTATTTTTTAAGTGACAATATTACCCCTCTGTCTTACATTTTTGCCCAACCAAAGTTGTCATTGTCTTTTTCAGGGGTAAATTAAGTCCTTCCATAGACAATGAACTAAAAATAAACCACCCGCGTCGATAAATTAAAAATAGTGAACTACGTGATAGTGAATTAACAAACAATGAACTAACTAAAATTTTTTTCCTCTTATTCTATCCACAATATATAACAAAACACATTGAGACTATTGTGTAGTTTACTGTCTTTTAATTTATTATCGTGGAAGTGAAATATGGTGGAATTCATTAAGAGTATTTTTATCAATTATGTATTTTATGGATATTTGACTTTAAAAGTATTCAACACCACTTACCTTCAAAATATACAATTTGTGGATCGTGTATCGTTCGTCAAATCCCCCTTTTTTTGTTCCTATTTTTTATACCTTAAGGGTCAGTTTGATTAGAAAAAAAAATGATAAAAAAATATATTTGTATGCATGTATTTGATTAGAATGAAAAATTTATAGAAATTTTTAAATTTTTTTATTGTTTGAAAGAAAATAAAGTTATTAGAATTTTTTTTATAATTGTCTAAATTACTCTTAGTTATATTAAATTGGTATTAAAAAAATATGTAATTATAATTGAATGTTAAATTTTTTTTAAAAAAAAAAGTGGCTTGAAACCTAATTCTAAGATAATCACTAAAAGTCTTTGAGCTAAATTATATGATTAATTAAATTCATACCAAAATTTTTTAAAATTAATAACTAATTATATATTTTAAGAAAAATAAGGGTAAAAAAAAAAATTAGTCATATATTACAACTTTCTTGTATTTTCTTATGTTTTTTACAAGAAAAAAAAGTTAGTTATTTGCGAAAAAATTCAAGTATGAAAGAAAATTATTTTTTTCATGCTAACTAAATACATTAAAATTTTTAAATTTTTTTTTATTTTCTATTATCCTCCCGCTAAAAAAACGAAACTTAAAGAAAAATATGTGTGATTTTATGTCAAACTGCGAGGGTGTAGGCGTAATTCTTCCTATATAGAAATTTCCCAGCCGCAAACAACCTCCCCCAGACGACAGACAAAATAAAAGCTAGAGTGATTTCTACAACAGGGTAAATTCCTGGGTCCCACCTTAACCATGCATATCAAAACGGTGATTTTACGATTTCCGTTTCATCTAACGGTGATGGCTTTGTGATTTCCATTCTTCCTATTCTCCCGGCGCAATTTTAGCACGCTCCCCACCTACCTTCGACTTGTCCTTTCCCTTGGTGGTCTTTCAAACTTTCCTTTTCCGCTTCTCTTCTCGTATTGTCTGTGTCTGTTTTTTTCCCCCACAAGGTACCTTCCTAGCTAAGGAAACTTCTAGTTCTTCGTCAGCTCTCACTTCGGTGATCTTAATCAAAGGGTTTTCAATCGTACCAGTTCTCTGGTTGCTTCTGCAAATCATGATGCGCCACAAATTCTGAGGTTAAATATCTGAATCTTTTCTTTTTCTTGTGTTATTTACTTCTTGTTTGGCCGGTCGAAGGAAAAGAAACTCGGTTTCGTGCCTCTTCTGTGTTCCGGTACTAGGCTTTGTTTTCCAGTATAGGACTCTAACTATATTTTCCTTTTTTGGGGAAAAGATACTCTAATTTTGTGTAGCTGATCGGAAGTAGTAATTATTAGAGACGTAGACTTTCACATTGCTATTGATTCCTTTTTATTTTATTTTTTTCTGTATTTGAAACAGCGTACTATTCTTTGATCCCCGTGAGCCGTGAGATTGGTTGAGATAATTGGGGGAAATTGGCAAACATGGGATTTAGTGGGGGCTCTGCTTTGATGAGGTTGGGGGTGATGGATTCGGCCGCTGAACTAGCTTCTGTTGAAGCCATAACCTTGTTCGCTGTGCTACTTAGTGCTTGCATAGTGATTGGTCATCTTCTCGAGGAGAACCGATGGCTCAACGAGTCAATCACTGCGCTTATAATTGTGAGTTAAAAACTAAACAATTGACCTTCCACATCGTGATTGTGGTTAAATATCGTATTGTACTAGCTTGCATCATTTATATGCGATTGTGGAGTTCATGATATGATTATTTTGGCATTTGATGGCAGGGTTTGTGCACTGGCACAATTATTCTTCTCTATACAAAAGGGAAAAGTTCACGCCTTTTGGAATTTAATGAAGAACTTTTCTTTATTTATGTTCTTCCACCCATTATATTCAACGCGGGGTAAGACGTAGTTTCCTGTTTAGTTCTGTTTTGATTGCGCACTAAGACATTCTTGTGGATTGTACAATTACTATTAAATGATTGCATGATCGGTAGTTATTAGTTATTATTAGGTTCATAGTCTTCTGCATTCTCTTTGTAATTTCAACTTGGATGCAATCATTTGACTCATTGAGACTGATAGCGTGCTTGGTCATTAGGTCTTCTATATGTTCGAGATCCCTCTTGGACTTAAAACTTACTTTAGCATAATTACCGTATTTTATCTTCTGTTTTTGTATAAATTTTCACTGAATGTCTGGAATAACGTCTGATCTTGTTTTTGGATTGAGCAGAAAAGGGATATATGAAGTTCGTTTTGTTCCTCAGTGCGTCTCTATGATGGGTAAATCTCCATGAAAAAGGGGCAAATTTAGTGTAGTTTGTGATTGGATGTAACTGTTAAGATTTTATCTTGAATAAATCTCTCTTAATAGATCTCCTCTTGTTCCTCAATCTTTGGGGAATATGGCATTAAGAAGCTTAGTTACTTGAACTTGCTCATCTTAGAAGCTGATAATTGTAACTCATTCCTTCTCTGCCCTAACATTATTTTTACCTTATTTTGGTCTTATTACATGTTGGCAGGTAGCATACTTCTTTTATTTGTAATTATGCCTATCAAGTCCAGGATTTATTTGTAATTATGTCTTTTGTTTTTTATTATTTGTGCTGATAGTAATGAAAGCTTTGTTTCTATGGAACATTTGCTTGTATCACTACATTAAAATTTCCCCATTTTTTCATTTTCTGGATGAGCCCAGCATGGCTTTATAAATATTTGTTTCGTTGAGTGTGGACTTTTTGAATTGCTTGGAGCTCAATGCTTATCACATGTACAGATAGTTGAACTTTACGTGGTTTGTATCTTATAAGTATGTGTGTATTAAATTCTGATGTTCTGGCAATTCCTGTGTGCAGATTTCAGGTAAAAAAGAAGCAGTTTTTCCGAAACTTTATGACTATCATGTTGTTTGGTGTTTTTGGTACATTGATATCCTTCGGCATCATATCAATTGGTATGCTATATAAGTTCATTTTACTTTTAGTTTTACCAAAAAATTATTTATTATTCTGAATGCTTTGTGTATTGTGATGTCATCTTTTGTAATGGTTGTGTGCATTTCATTAGTTGATTAGGTTTTAACTAATATACTAATACAACATGTTGATGTTAGTTTTTTGTGCTTGTCCATACATGTTTCTGTATTCAACGTAATCATAATGCATTTCTAAGTTACACTATTTGAACAATGAAAATGATTTCACAATGGTAGCTTCTGGAGAATTGAAAACTTAAAAAAAAACCATTGTACTCTTTGACAGTAACTCCTTGCATGAGTACTATTGATAATGTCGATGCATGCCTTTTTATTTCCTTCTTGATGTGATCTTTTTGCCCTTGGCTTTTACCTTTGTTTTCATTTTTCAAAATCTTGAACATGCTAATACACACTGAGATTTGTGATAGGCACTCGATTTTTTTGTCAATGCAACAAGAGATATATGTTAGTCACAATTTTATTTCAGAGTTACAGTTTTTGAAGTACCAGCTTGATTGGTTCTGTTGATTGTTCCAATTTTTCCCAGGATTGACCATGATAGTACCTTAAAAACTGTTTCAGGTGCGAAGGGATTGTTTGGAAAACTGGATAGTGGTTCATTGGAGTTGGGGGATTTTCTTGGTACTCTCTTTCTCTCTCCCGTGTTGTTACTTTTTTGTTGTGTAATTATTGATGTTATCAATAAACATCTGTCCCTATAAATTTTTATTCTTTCATTTAGAGAATTAAAAGTTATAGATTTTCAACTTCTTGTGCATCTATAATTTTTTTTTTTATTCCATCACCCAATCTCTTGATCTCCTATAATTGTCATCTTGTGTTGTTTGTAGCAATCGGAGCAATCTTATCGGCAACAGATTCTGTTTGCACTTTGCAGGTATTGATATCCATCCAAGTATGGCAACGTTGATTTAAACAAGAGAAAACATAAAAAGCATGTTTGAGTTAAATGTTCTTTCTATTGTTCAGGTGCTTAACCAGGATGAGACACCTTTACTGTACAGTATTGTGTTTGGGGAAGGTGTGGTGAATGATGCCACATCTGTTGTGCTTTTCAATGCAATCCAGAAAGTTGACCTCTCTAACATCAACTCAAGCATTGCCTTGCAGTTTATAGGCAATTTTCTCTCTTTATTTTTCTTAAGCACCTTGCTTGGGGTGTTGGTAAGTCTCTCTCTCTCTCTCTCTACTTTACACTTGTGTGCATATTGACTTTCTACTTTATAAAATACAAGTGAGACCTTGGAATGAATCAAAATTCCATGTCACATCTTTGATATGTGTCTCTTTCATAGAAAACTAGTCCAGTTTGGGAAAAAAATTCAGTTATTATGCTTATTTCAAGGGTTAAGTTAATGTTTTGAGTTTGCCAGCAAAAGCACTTCGCGAAAGGGTTCTTTGGGGCATTTTAGTGCCTTTGTGCAAAACTAATGATAATGCACTTCAAACTTGGTCACGTCTTCTGTTCCATTTCCATCAAACTTTTATGCATGTGTACTTCCAATTGGTGATGTTTTGTTTTGACATTTTCCTGTTATTTTACAGATTGGATTGCTTAGCGCATACATCATTAAGAAGTTGTACTTTGGAAGGTATGTCAGTGCTAGTGATATATTTTCACCTCATGTTTGTTCTACGGGAAAATCAGTTTTCTGTAGTCTGTCATTTCTTGTATTGAACGTTTACATTAAAAGATTCCTTGCATTAGTTGTAATAAAAAAGATCAAGTAATCAAATATTCAACAATTTTCCATCTGCTTGCCAAGAGCATAATGGAAAGAAACAAAAGTTGGAACCTCATAAGAATGTTCGGTTGGAACAAGTTCTGTAGGATTAGAATTTATGCTATTTTTTGATGACTTGTTAACAATTAATCATGGGGAAATTTTAACTGTAAGTCCTTAGAGTGAATCAATCTCAATGGTTAGCTTGCCATCCTCAGGGTTTGTAAGTCTTGCCATCATTTTTGGTTTGTTTGCATTTCCAATCTGCAAGTACAGAAATAATAAATAATCCTAGCATGGGTGCGAGAATTTGTTTTTACGATAAACATTCTGCTTGCACACTCGCACAATATAAGTGGCTGGCTGGTATAATTTATGAATTTGTTGAACATTCATAAAGCTGTAACACTGGGAACCCAAGATCTATTTGGGTGTTGTATAACCTTTGCAGACTCTGAAGCTTCTTTTATGAATGCCTTATTTCCTGTGGATATTGTTTCACTCTGGTGGTCAATTTCAGGCACTCCACTGATCGTGAAATTGCACTTATGATTCTCATGGCTTACCTTTCATACGTCATGGCCGAAGTAAGTTTTTACTTACTAGTTTTCAAGCACCCACATGTCCTCTAATATTAACTTGTGAATGAATAACTTAATTTGTATTAGACACTCTCTCATAAATTACTGTGCTCTTGTCGTGTTTCTGACAATCTTGTGCTTTATGATCATGTTGAATATAACTGTTTGCCTTCCAGCTGTTCGACTTAAGTGGAATTCTCACTGTATTCTTTTGTGGGATTGTCATGTCACACTATACCTGGCATAATGTGACCGAAAGTTCAAGGGTAACTACCAAGTATGTGCAAGCTTTGGGAATACTTTCTTGAAAGTTGTCGCATTTTTCTTTGTGATTTAAGGACATTGGTCAGAGTAGTCCCATTAACATATTATTGATTCTGCTTACTGATGGCTGCAGGCATGCATTTGCAACGTTGTCATTTGTTGCGGAGCTCTTCATTTTCCTCTATGTTGGTATGGATGCCTTAGACATTGAGAAGTGGAGCTTTGTAAGTGACAGGTGACGTCTATAAATCCATATAAGATAATTAAATGTGTTTCCATTCTCTACTTTGCATTTTTGAGTGTCAATTAATGGTTTTCTTTCATTTCAAAAATGCATTATGTAGTTTGCTTTTTGCAGACTCTAATACCACCTTTTGTAATTGGGCTCCATTTCATTTTCTGCAGTCCTGGAAAATCTGTTGTGGTGAGCACAGCACTTCTTGCCCTGGTTCTGGTTGGGAGGGCAGCTTTTGTATTCCCTCTTTCCTTATTATTAAACATTACAAAGAAATCAAAAAGTGACAAAATTGAGTTCAAGCAGCAGGTACATAGTCTTGGAATTTGTTCAAGTTTCCCATTCCCTTCAATCTCGTGTGATGTGAAACTTGAAAATTGACTGAGCAGATTACAATTTGGTGGGCTGGCCTGATGAGAGGAGCTGTTTCCATGGCACTTGCTTATAATAAGGTAAGCACGAGGACTATTTGATGCCTTAGATGCCAGTTTGAAAAATAGGGATAGGGTGACAGGGCTATAACTGGCAAAAGTTAGAGAATATGCATTCAGACCTCTGAGTGAGAGGACAGTGAGGTGGCATGCTTATCTTCTTTTATGACTGATGAAAGAAATATCTATGTTCTTGGCCCAATTTGGTGGGACAACGTTTGCTTTTTTCTCCATTGACGAGAAAATAATTCAGTATTGGTATAAGAAGAACGATTTTTGAAATAGTTTTGGTTCATGCTACATATCCAATAAAAAAAATATCATTAAACTTCTTAACGCTTACACAGGCATATAGAACGTGAGGAAGTTTGTAATTTGGACTCTTGGAACAGACAGAAGGTCCTTTTCAATCATTCTAGAGTCTCTAAAGTTGGGAAAACTTTGCTTGTTTAGGAAACTTTTGTAACATGATAGAGGCAACCTGCTGATTGCCTCTAGGCCATTTTAGCATTTCAATTATGCATGAATCTTTTCATCTTGCTAGTGAAAAATTCAACTTGAATCAGTTTGTGGCATTGATTGTGTTTCTTAAGTATGAAAATGTTATTATTTGTTTTCAGATTATATATCGTCGCATTACCACACATGTATTTATGATGGTGATATTACAAGTTGAAGTCTGACTTTTGTTACACATGCAGTTTTCGAGGTTTGGCCATACTCAACAGCCTGGCAATGCTATCATGATCACTAGCACCATCTCTGTTGTTCTTTTCAGTACATTGGTAAAGAATATAATGCTTCTGATTATAAGTATTTGTTTTACAATTGGAGCAATTGAGCATTTAGGTTGCAATTGGAGCACATTTCTTTTTGTGATTTCATGACTTGATTAATTGTTGCTGTTTTATATGTGTGTGGTCCTTCGCACAGCTCTTTTATCTTCATGTCATTTAGGTTGTGTAGCCTGTTGATTGCAAATATCCAAGTGCCTCGTTTTATCTAATTAGATTGTGACATTGGTACAATGTTCTGTTCCCTGATTTGTATTGCTACAAGGGGTAGGTTGTAGAGCCAATTAGCACGGGTGCATGCAAATTTTGTCCTTTCTGTCTTTTACTGTAGGGAGAAAGAAATGTAATGACAAATAATGTTGATGAGGGAAATCACAATGCATAACCTTAAATCAAATGCTCTGACATTCCTAGCCACATTTGCAAAGTTGTTATGTACGTACCCTTGCAGGACGTGTGTTATGTAGCGATAGAGTTCACTTATCATCCTATAACTCATATGATTGTTGGTTTGCCTGATTTGTGGATTTGTGTGGGTATGTGTTTGCACCTTTTCAAAGCCCAGGAAAAGCTACTACTGCCACCCATGATTCACTGCTTCATTTTTATAGGGAGTGGCAAACATGTATCTGGCAGAGGATTGCCTTTTTTCTCATCGACACAGTTCTTGTATTAACTATTTGTTTTTAATCCTTCTAGGTGTTTGGATTGCTGACCAAGCCTCTAGTAAGGTTTTTCCTACCGTCAAATCATTCTGAACCATCTAGTCCAAAATCAATCACTTTGCCACTTCTCGGCAATGGGCAAGATTCAGAAGCTAACATGAATGGTCAAACTATTCCCCGCCCAACCAGTCTACGCATGCTTCTAAGCACCCCAACTCACACTGTCCACCATTATTGGAGAAAATTTGATGATGCCTTCATGCGTCCTATGTTTGGTGGAAGGGGATTTACTCCGTATGTTCCTGGCTCGCCAACAGAAGTGCCTGCTCATTAATTTCATTGAGAAGTAAACCATGAAAGATTTTTGCTTCTGGTGGGTTTTGAGGATGTTAATTACTGCTGATAACCTTCTTTTCCACTCTTACTATGATGGAGTGATTCTATTGGTCATCATACTTGCATAGTTACGTGTGCACAGCCACACGCTTTTAATACATCATATTAACCCCACGTGTAACAAAACACTGCTTTTCTAGTGCTAATAATAGATTAGCATTTTGTAAATTGCTTAAATGTAATTATTTTCTTTTTCTTTTAGATTTTTGCTGGGCTTCTTGTCTAGGTTGATATGTTGTGTAGTGATCTTCCGGAAGCATCTCTTCCATGCTTTTTCTTTGATGAGCTACAAAAACAATGAGTGGTAGGTGTAATTGTCGAATAGAGAAAGAAAATATGGGTTGGTGGTGATGATTTACAAAAGTGATTTTATGCATAATCAATTAGTCGAGTGTGTGTGTGAAGCATTTAATGAATGAATGGTTAAGTTTGGGTGATCTAACCATTGAATGTAGCAATGGTGACCAAAAAACTCTATTAATGAGAAAGTGTAAGGTAGTTGGAGAGAGAGAAAGAGCAAGAGTACTCTCAGGGTGAGGTATGTGAGATCTTTGTGTGAGAGATACATGTGTGTCCCTCATGTGTAGAGAGTTTACAATTATAGTCACATAGTCCTAGATAAGATGGTGATGTAAAGGTCACGTTATTAGTCTTTTGGGGAGGATGACTACAATTAAGGATATGTGTTATTTTTGAGTAATAGTTATTTCGATATTTACTTTCCACGTGCATTGATGAACTCTTGAACTTTGGATTAGGCTGAGGCCATTAGTTCAACTTGACCTGTCTTTTGATAATTTGGGCTCAATCTATGAATTGTGCCCACTCCTGGTCTAAATCTGAGCTCGTTATTTGCCACCCATGTCCCAAGCCCTAGTAATGATACGGGAGTTAAGGGCATGAGTGAGCTCTTTTATTTGGGTAGACCATGGTACCTTGTTCGATATGGTGGTTTCTTCTGTTTAGCTTTTCTCTACATTGTGTTTTTGAAGCTTATTTGCTCGTCTAGTAGCCCATAAGAAGTAGAGAGGATGAAGAGAAGCACAGACGCTTTGGGGTGTAGAGATGGAGAAGCTTTGGCGAGTTATGCCTTGGAAAGGGAGAGAATCTTGGGTGGCGCCATGGATATGAACCTAGGCAACACCAGGGAAGGTGCGAGGTTAGGCGGTGCCATGAGCGATGATACCATGGAGGACCCAGACAAATGGATGATGTCTTTGGTTTATGAAAATTCTCTCTTTCATAGGTGATCTCGTGGTTGATAGATTAATGGTGAAGACTCTCTATGTCACTAGGATGGTGACTTCCCCTCATCCCAAGAGGGCAAGATCTAATGCCCCCAATGGTTCACAGCTTCGGTCTGATGGCCTTACTATTTATCGAACAATGGGGTTTGATGATGTTTTCACTTCTTCTCAACATGTGACCCTTTGAGTCTTACGGTTAGTCGTAGAACTACTTTATAGATTGAGACTCCTGTACAAACTTCATTGAGACCGGAGCTCTATATAATTGTCCAGCTTCCAGTAATGGCTCGGTGTCCATGCTGCTGGATGTGAATTTGGTCAAGGAGCGTCCTTGGAGGTTTGTGACACCCTTGGATATTAGAGAGGTCGGCTTTTAGGGTTGTGAAAGTATCATTGATATCACGATGGAGGGCTTTTTGTCTTCTGTATGTTTTGGTCATACTGACACTCTTGCTTTTGGATATTCGTAGATGGCTATGACTTTTCCATGCCTTTTTCTGAGAACAATCAAACTCAATGAGGTGTCGAGAGCTTTGGCAAAAGAGAGATGAGTGTCAGGCTATTGAGGAGCAGTTGAGGTTGGCTCATGAGAGAGCAACACCTCTTAAGGCCGAGCATTTTGGAGGTCGAGGTTGCTTTCGTGAGAGTGGAGGTAGAGTGAGACCAAGCTTCTGGAGACTCGTGAGAGAGACACGAAGTTAGAGACATATGCTGCTTGCATGAGAGCAGAGACAGAATTAGACCGAGTTTTTGACGACTTAGGAGAAAACCACTAAGTTGGAGATATATGCCTTTTGTATTGTAAAGATCTTTATGGACCCATAGAAGGTGAAAAAGGCCGACCCCTAGGTATGATAAATGGTAAGTGGACCAAGCTTAATCGAAAGGCCATTAAATTTATTCGTCAATGGAGTGATGACAGTGTTTTCCATCATGTCTCTACCAAAAATTCAGCACACTCTATTTGACAAAAAATAGAGACTTTATGGGGGGAAAACAACCATTAACAAGGCTTTTTTGTTTCGAAAGTTTGTTAATCTAAAGTATAAAGAAGGTAGCTCCATTGCGGAACATTTGAATGAAATGAAAAGCATTGTAAATCAACTTTCCTCCATGAAAATTCTTTTTGATGATGAGTTGCAGGCCTTGTTGCTTCTTAGTTCCTTGCCGAAAAGTTGGGAGACCTTGGTAGGGACGGTTAGTAACTCCGCCCCCGATGGAATTGTCACTATAAGTCAAGTGACTAGTAGCTTGCTAAATGAAGAGGCAAGAACGAAGTCATCCAGTTGTTCTCATTCCGAAGCACTTGTCTTAGAGAAGCGGGGGAGAAGTAAAAGTAGAACACTTCACAACCATGATAAATCACGAGGAGCTTCAAGTTCAAGGAAAAATATAGAGTGTCATTATTGCCACAAGAAAGAGCACATAAAGAGAGAGTATAGAAAACTCAAGAGGGATCAAAAGAAAGAAAAAGTGATGAAAAGAAACAAGAAGACACTACTGCAATCACTTCCGATAGTGACATCATTGTTGTGTGCAATGATAGTTGTGTTAATTTCATGTGTCAAGAGAGTAGTTAGGTGATTGATTCCGGTGTTTCATTTCATGTTACTTCACGAGCTAATTTCTTCACATCTTACACTCAATGAGATTTTGGATTTGTCTGAATGGGAAATGAGGGCTTATCTAAAATCATGAGTGTTGGAAATATTTGTTGGAGACAAATATTGGTTGCAAGTTGTTGGTTAAAGGTGCGAGGCATGTCCCATACATTTGACTTAATTTGATCTCCGTGGGGAAGCTTGATGATAAGGGCTACAATAATCACTTCGGTGATGGAAAATGGAAGCTTATAGAAGGATCTTTGGTTGTGGCTAAAGGGAAGAAAAACTCTACTATTTACTCAATGGAAGCAAAAATCAGCAAGAGTGAAGTTAATGCACTTGAGAATGATTCCTCCACTAAGCTATGACATAAACGACTCGGGCATATGAGTGAAAAGGGATTGCAAATTTTATCTAAGAAGCAGCTCTTACTAGAAATGAAAGGTACACCTCTCAAAATATGTGTTCATTTCTTGGCTGATAAACAACATCGAGTTATTTTTCATAGGAACTTTGCATCTAGAAAGACCAATGTTTTGGATTTGATATATTCGGATGTATGTGGTCCTATGAAAGTTAGAATACTTGGAGGTGCACTCTACTTTGTTACCTTTATCGATGACCATTCAAGAAATGCGTGAGCATACGCATTGAAGAACAAAGATCAAGTGCTAGAAGTGTTTAAACATTTTCATGTCAAGGTGGAAAGAGAAACGAGGAGGAAATTGAAATGCATTCGCATGAACAATGGTGGTGAGTACCTAGAACCATTTGATGGTTATTGTGATACTCATGGGATTAGACATGAGAGAATGGTTCGCAAGACTCCTCAACAAAATGGAGTTGCCGTGAAGATGAATCGCACCATTTAGAAAAGATAAGGTGTATGCTTTCATTTGCTAAACTACCTAAATCCTTTTGGGGTGAGGCAATGCGGACAACAATTGACTTAATTAATCTTTCTCCTTCAGTTCCTCTAAATGGTGAAGTGTCTGAAAAAGTTTGAAAAGGTAAAGACGTTTCATATGCTCACTTGAAAGTTTTTGGTTGTAGGGCATTCATTCACATACCAAAAGATGAGATATCTAAACTTGATCTTAAGGCAAAACAATGTATATTTCTTGGATATGCATATGAGGAATTTGGGTACAGATTGGTAGGATCCGGCCAACAAGAAACTTGTTAGAAGTAGGGATGTTGTCTTTATTGAAGATCAAACAATTGAAGACTTGGCAAAGGTTGAGCAACCCGAGTCTTATATTGATGATCTTATTGACTTGGATCCGATTCCTTCACCTATTGTGCATGATGAAAATGGGGAAGAGATGCAACCATTTCATGATGAAGAAGTAGATGATGGGATTCCAAATGATGTTGAGCTAGAAAATGAGGGGGAGTTTCCAACTCAAGAGCCATCACCACAACCTGAGTTACGAAGATTTATAAAAGAGCGGCAACCATCCAAATGGTATACTTCAAATGAGTATGTGATGCCATCCGATGAGGGAGAGCCTGAGACTTATCAAGAAGCTTTAAAGCATGAGCACAAAGATGAATGGTTCAAATCTATGCAAGAAGATATGTAGTCCTTGCTTGAGAATAACACATATGAGTTAGTGAAGCTTTCTAAAGGAAAGAAAGTGCTGAAAAATAAATGGGTATTCCGATTGAAGAATGATGAGAAAAGCTCTAAACCAAAGTAAAAAGCATAACTTGTTGTCAAAAGCTTTGGGCAGAAAAAGGGAGTGAACTTTGATAAAATTTTCTCACTCGTGATGAAGATGTCATCCATTAGAGTTGTTCTCAGCATGATTGCAGGTATGGACTTGGAAATTGAACAAATTTATGTGAAGATCGCCTTTCTCGATGGATATTTAGATGAGAAAATCTACATGGAGCAGCCCGAAGGTTTTAAAACCAAAGGGAATGAGCATCTAGTTTGCAAGTTAAAGAAAAGATTGTATGGATTGAAGCAAGCGTCAAGACAATGATACAAGAAATTCGATTCTTTCATGATAGATCATGGGTATTCTAGAAACAATTCCGATCATTGTGTGTTTATGAAAAAGTTTCTAGATGATAACTTTATCACTCTTTTGTTATATGTTGACGACATGCTTATTGTGGGTCAAGATTCTACCAAGATTGACAAATTGAAGATGGAGCTAAAGAAGTCCTTTGCTATGAAGGACTTAGGACCGGTAAAACAAATTCTTGGTATGAAAATTCTTCGTGATTGAAAGAGTGGACATCTTTGGTTGTCACAAGAAAATTACATTGAAAAAGTGTTTGAAAGGTTCAAAATGGACAAAACAAAGCCGGTTGGATCTCTACTTGCAGGCCACTTCAACCTTAGCTCAATACAATGTCCTACAAGTGAGAAAGAAAAAGAGGAAATGCTGAAATTTCCTTATGCTTCAGCCGTTGGTTGCTTAATGTACGTCATGGTTTGCCCAAGGCTGGACTTAGCTTATGCGGTTGGATTGGTTAGCAGATTTCTCTCTAATCTAGGACAAGAACATTGGACAGCTGTTAACTGGACTATGAGGTATCTTTAGGGTTCTTCCAATGTGTCTTAATGCTTTGGAAATGGCAAGCCTATGCTAGAGGGATTCGCTGATGTAGACATGACTAGCGATGTTGATCCCCAAAAATCTATATTGGGTTACTTACTCATTTTTGTAGGTGGGGCTGTTTCATGGCAATCAAAACTTCAAAAATTTATTGCTTTGTCAACCACCGAGGTTGAGTATATAGATGTGACAGAGGTTAGCAAGGAAATGTTATGGATGCAAAGATTCTTACATGAATTGGGCTTGAAACAAGAGAGGTATGTTCTCCATTGCAATAGTCAAAGTGCAATTTACTTGAGTAAGAATTCTACTTTTCATTCAAGATCAAAACATATTGATGTGCGATATTACTAGACACGTGATGTTTTGGAATTGAAATTGTTTCATCTTGTAAAAATCCACACTAATGATAATGCATCGGATATGATGACGAAAGCCTTACCCAAAGACAAGCACGAGAAGTGTAGAGTTTTGACACATTTGGTTGAGTGCTTCGCATAAGTCAGGAGGGCGAGATTTGTTGGGTGTCTCTCTTTATGCCTTCTCATTGGGATCCAACTCAAATTAAAGATATGTGCATGTGTGCATTAGAATTATGCATTAGAAGAGTCTAGCAAAAGACAAGAATTGAAGACCTTTTGTCTTCTAAGTTGCCTGATTGGTTTTACACTTTGAGTGAAAAAAATTTGTAGAAAACATTGAAAGAGATAGCTTCTTTTGTGCGAGAGAAAAGTGGAAGACAACAGTCCACTTCTTGCCCTTGTTCAAGGCTCATTTCTACTCTGATTGAGTTGAAAATTCAGGGACATATTCCTCATTTCCACAACTGGTTTCTACTATTTTGGGTTGTCAATTGGATTCTTCTACAACTAGTTTTCAATGACACAAGTTCAGTTACTTCGGTGAGATCTTTTTAGTTGCTTTGTGTTGAAATCCACCTAAGAGTGAAACTTTTATATTTGGGAGCCAAGGGGATATTTTTCTCTTGATGTTTGACATCTCTAGTTGTGACTAGAAGACTTATAATCCTACTTTCGTTGATAGTGGAGAGATTGGACTAAGTTTGGTCTCATGATTTTTTCCCTTTGCCTTGAAGTGTTTTCATGTTAAAAATTCTTGTGTTTCTTATTGTTGGTTTGGTTTGCTTGTTGTGCTTGATTGTGGTTTTGGTTATTTTCTATTGATTTGCACACAGAGAGAAAGTCACTAGTTTTTCCAACACAATGGTGGCCAGAGAATTCTATTGATGAGAGAATACAAAGTAGTTGGAGAGAGAGTACAAGATAGTTGGAGAAAGAGAGAAAACAGGAGTACTTTCAAGGTGAGGTGTGTGAGAAATAGCTGTGTGTCCCTTATGTGTAGAGGATTTACAATTTATAGGCACATAGCCCTAGATAAGGCAGTGACATGAAAGCCACACTACTAGTCTTTCGGGGAGGATAACTACAATTAAAGATAGGTGTTATCTTCGAGTAATAGTTATCCCGATGTTTACTCCCCACGTGCGTTGATTTTTCTAGACTCTTGAACTTTGGATTAGGCTGAAGCCATTAGCTAAGTTTGATCTGCCTTTTGATGATTTGGGCTCAACTCAACCCATAAACTGGGCCTAGACTTGGTCTAAATTTGGGCTCATCAGGTGGTATTGTCTAGCATAGGTGATGAGGATCATGTAGGAATTGGATAGATATTTTAGATTAATCATGAGAGTAATTTAATATTGATCTTTTAAGTATTTTTTTTTAACTTTTAAAGGTTTAGTTGTCATTTTGATTATTTATTTATTTTAGGGTTTGTGATCACCATATATATATATAGGATTTGTGAACTCCTTATATATATAGGGGGTACATAATTGTTGTAAAATTAGACTTTGATTATTATTGATTATTGATATTGAATTCTTTTTCCTCAAATTCTTTCTTTGTTCTTATCCCCTTCTTCTTCTTTTCTCATCTCTTTCTTCTTCCATTCTCATCCCTAATTCTTTCCTAATATGATCTACATTAATTTGGTATCAAAACTAGTACGACTTACATCAATTTGGTATCAGAGCCAATTTTGATTCGGGGAAAAAAATACTATTCATCATAGTACTGTTTATCGAGGTACTGTTCATCGAAGTACTGTTCATCAACACTGTCTAGTTAAAAAAAAAATCCAACAAATCAAAGGTTTGTGTAGAAGAAAAAAAATTGTTACTGTTCTTCGTTCGTCGTGACTGTTCATATTACAGAAGCATCCTCAGTAAATTGCAGAATTGTAGAAACATCCCTAGAAGATCCAAAAAATTGTAAATTCACCCCATAGGTTTCAGCAAATTTCAGAAATACTATCCAGAAGCTACAAAATTGTAAAAATATCCCCAAAAGTTTTAAAAATTGCATAATCATCCCCATGACGTTTCTGAATTTCAGAATTCCCTCAAAGCAAAACTTAAATTATGGTATGCATACTCTTATAGAAATTTGAAACTAATATTTTTATTCATTAAAAAATTAAAAAAATTTACAAAGGGTCCAAATCATTTATCAATGACTCACTCATAAGTATGTATGATGTCTCTAATCCACATATTTACCCTAGTTTAAGAGTGCCTCCTCGAGGTCATCATCATAGTAAGTCTAGGTATGTCTAGAAGGATTCAACACCTATTGCTAAATCAATTAAAGATCTTTCTACATTTTGTGGTACTCTAGATCCCAATCAATTCTTGGATTGGTTAGCTAATTTAGAAAAATATTTTGATTGACATAGCATGTCGGATTCCCATTACGTCCATTTTGCTAAATTGATGTTGGAGGATTCTGCCAAGAAGTATTGACAAACAATCCAAAGAAGCCTAGACCCTTTAGGAGAATCACCTATCACTTGGGTTGAAATGAGATATAAATTGAAAGAGAAGTATTTGCTTAGTTTCTACATGGATCAAGTTTATAACCAATGACTCAATATTAAACAACATTCTTCTAATATCTCTGATTACTTTGTCCAGTTTGATTATCTCATGTACTTGTGTGACATTGTTGAAGAACCTTGGACAATTAATCAGTTTATTCTTGGGTTGAGACACAAAATTAGTAGGGAGGTCAAGCAATACACTTTTAATACGTTAGTTGCAGCCTATCAATATACTCTAAAGGTTGAGAGATTTCATAAGAAATCCAACTATAGTTTAATGAGTTCTAAATCACAGTCTACTAAATAGCGTGACAGGATACCTTCCACTCTTAATTCCAAAACATATGAGTATCATGATTACTTAAACGATGTCCATATTATTTTTGCATGCTTTCCTAATCCGAATGTGGCAAAGGATTTAGATATTTTAGTATCGGATAAAGAGAAAAATGTTACTCATATGGACTTCCAACTCCCTCATTTAGTTTCGTCATATCAAAGTCCTCCTCCTTTGCACCCACAAAAGTCCGTTTCGAAAAAAAGTATGTATGAGTCTTTACTTGTGTCAATTCTTAAACCATCATTGGTCTTGAAAATTGTAGAAAAGTATGTTGAGCCTACACTTATGCAAGATATTAAGCCAATCGAGTCATTAATTGTCGAATCTACTAGTGACTATTCTATGTCTACTTGTCCAAATCATCATAACTTTGTTACAGATTATTCTCAATCTGAGATTGTTGATTTTGTTCTGGACTCTGCCCCACTTGAAAGTGTTAACTTTGGTTCTTTGTCTACTGTCAAGTGTTCAATTGAGTCTGTACTTTCTTATTTTCAGCACTAGGGTGTTAGAGTTACTATAGTTTAAATTTTTATTTGGAGGATATGCTACTTAATCGAGGTACCTCATAACCTCCTATTTTGTTATCTAATGTTTCTACGACTGCCGGTATTAAGAGGGGAATGGAAAAAAATGCAAAGAGCTTTTGAGATATACGCCTACTGTGCTATGTCGCCGAATTACTTAGCAAATCATTTCTTCTTCACTGGTCAACATTTTCTAGTAGAGCAACTAACTGAAATTGCACTTGCTGTGACTATTCATGGGCCAACAAAGTCACATTCCTACTACAATTTAGCACGATCGTACCATAGCAAGGGGGACTATGAAAAAGCTTCGCATCTGTAAAGGAAAGCAATAAGCCTCAAGAATTTGTATTACCTTACTATGGTTTGGGTCAAGTACACTTGAAATTGGGAGATTTAACGAGTTCCCTTTCAAATTTTGGAAAGGTTTTGGAGGTGTACCCTGATAACTGTGAGACAATTAAAGGTTCTTGGGTACATTTGTGTTCGGCTAGGGCACACTAAGAATGCCCAGGAGTTCTTAAAGAAAGCTACAAAGAATGATCCACGTGATGCCCAGGCATTTCTGGATCTTGGGAAGCTTTTAATTTCAACTGATGCAGGAGATGCGTTAGATGCTTTTAAAACTGCACGTAATCTACTGAAAAAGGATGACGAAGAAGTACCAACAGAACTGTTCAACAATATTGGAGTTCTTCATTTTGAAAGAGGAGAGTTTCAGCTTGCTAAACAAACGTTCATGAAAATACTAGGTGATGGCATATGGGTTAAGTTCATTGGTAGTGACGCTCCACGGGATCCAAATGTTGAAGCAGGTTCAAATCCCAGGGAAGAAGCCCAGTCAATCCTATTAACAAACTGCATTTAGAGCGTGTTATTGAAGAAGGGCATGAAACTATGAAGAAGCAGATTCCAATAATATGAAAGTACAATCAGAGCATGTCGAAGGACCACAATCCAATCATACTGGTGTTAGAATTCGAGCCGAGTTCGAGTCGTGCTCGAGTATTTACACATAAATTAGTTGAGTCTATCAAGTTTGAGCCGATCTTGTAGAGTTTGTTTTCTAAACAAGTATTCAAGTTCGGGCTCGTTTAGAAAACAAACTAAATCTGAACGAGTTGAACCCAAACCAAACTCAAGTTAAGCTCAAATAACACAATTTAATTAACAACCTTAGTGAAAAACAGTCCCGACGAAAGTAAGGGACGGTCCCGTTGATCTCTTGTTACATTATACTTTTTAAAAACTTTCATGAATTAGACCATTTTATCTTTCTAACTTTCATTATTTATATGTATAACTCTCACAATACAACAACCAAAAAAAAATGTAGAAATTGAGTTGCTAGTGGAATCATGTGTGAAGTCATTAATTATAAGGAGAATTACATCCAAATTTTTTAAAATTTATCACTTAATCACTTAGATCGTTTAACGTTTTAAATATTATACAAACTCTTTGAGATTTGTATGCACATAACACTTAGACATCAATTGTCAATATCCATTAATAAATTACACCTAGACCTTTTGAAATATGTATACGTATAATATTTAGACCCCTCAAGTTTAAAATGTTATACGTAAACCAAAAATACTCTAATTAAAGATAGAATATTAAATATTTTAAATTTTACAACCAAAATTTATATTCTATTATGACATTTATTGAAATAAAAATAAAAATTTAATTTTTTTAAAAAAAATTATAATTAGTATACAATTATATTATCTATCAGAATTTAATTTAATCATTTTTAAACAACCAAATTATCCCAATTAAAACTAAAAGATATTGTGTCTATTACAGTTTGATCTCTTATTTGATTTTTTAGTTTTATTCTAATAGATAGTATAATTATATACTAATTATGATTTTTAAGAAAAAAAATTAGATTTTTAAATTCATGTTATATTATGAATTATTTAGATATATTTTTTTTATTTTTTTAGTTTTATTTCAATAGATAGTATAATTGTACATTAATTATAATTTTTTAAGAAAAAAATTAATTTTTTATTTTTTATTTTATTTCAATAAATGATAAAATAGAATATGAATTTTAATTGTAAATTTTAAAATATTTGATATTCTGATATACTAACGGACATTGACGGTAAGACTTTAAGTGTTACATGCGTATAAATTTTAAAGAATTTGTGTATAATATTTTAAATATTAAAAAATTTAAACTATTAAGTAACAAATTTTAGGAGGTCTTGGTGTACCTCTGCTTAATTTTATGTATAACTCTCACAATCCTTGTCAAATTAGTCAGGTACAATATGGTAATTGTCAAATTAGTCAGGTACAATCTCGTGTGAGGTCACTAACCTAGGATGTACAGATGGGTTTGCCACTGGAATTTTCGACCGTTGCGTTGCCTTTCATTTTTTTCTTTTTGTGGTCACCGGCCCACCGGCCATGGACGCTCCCACCGGTAGCCAATTTGATTAATTGTCGGAAATGCCCTTCTATATTGTTTATTTTACGTTACCCATTTGTAGGCTAGCATTAGCATTTTAATCCCGCTTTGGACGATTCAATGTAATAATCGTAAAGGATAAACTTCTACAGTTCTACTAGACCTGCCTGCGGAAACTTAGACAGCCATGTGGACCCCACGTCATGTGGTGTACTAAATGATCAAGATATCCCTGAATGGTGTCCACTCCTGTGTAGAAGTCGCTTCAGCCCTCGGATTGAGAAATTGAGGGGTAATGAAGTAAATTGAAAGATTTCAAAAACAGAAAGACCTCCATACTTTGCTCGCCGATAAATACGTGGCGGTCTATGATTGGACCACATGAATCAGAACTGAGACAAAATTCGGAACTCGAGGTATGGTGTTTAAATCTACACTGTCGTCTACTTTGTATGTAGAACTGTGTGCCATTGAGAGAGAGAGAGAGAGCTTCTTCTACCATCGTCGGCCCTCTCAGCTTCTCTCAGGTACGTTCCTAACCATCCAACAAATCCTTTTTTTTTGCTTAATCTCTCTAAATAAATCTTTCTCATCATCTCTCCTCTCTCTCTCAAGAAATCTTTTTTGGTTAATCTTTCTGTCGGTTACACTCTGGAGAATGTTCTACGGCAACCGGAATTTCATTCCGGCAAGTCTTGTTTTTTTTCCTATCGTTTTATATGCTTCATATTTTAGCCGAGTCCACCCGGCAGAGTTTATTTTATCACTGATACAGGAGTATTTTGGTCACTATACCTAACGTCATCGAAATCTCCTTCCATCCTCGTAGTAATTATCTGAATCTGCGGTTTTGGCGCTTGTGGTGTGATTTATGTATTACGGGAAGTTAAATGACTAATATACCCCGACCATTCGAATGGGATTTGCCTCAAAGGACTTCTAGAGAGGAGTTCTTTGCGAGGATTTTTTAGGTGGTTGAAACAATGCATCAAAATAAAATTTTAACACTTGATTTGTTGATTATTTTGTTTTCCTCGTACTAAACTATTTCATGTTCTTTCATTTTTTTATGTGAAGGTAAGAGAAAATGGCTGAAGCGAAAAGCAAATTTTCATCACACTCGTGGTGGTTTGATAGCCACAACAGCAGCAGCCCTAGAAAATCCCCATGGCTCCAATCCACCCTTGCAGGTAAACTTTGTATTCTTCTAGTTAAACCCTGCTTCCTTCAATTTTTTTAATTTTTTTTCTCATATTATTTGGACTTTAAGCTCTAGGCCTATACTGTAGTCTCTTTTTTGATATGTTCAATTTGGAGTTTGATAAACTACTTTACTTTTCAAAGTGATTATTTAACCGTTGGAGATCTGTCTTTTCTAAGAAGTGATTATTGACAGTTTAGAAAAAAGTTTCTTGTTTGATTGTTGCATTTGTGTTTCTAGTGTAGAGTTGACTTATAATTGACTAAATTTCAAAAAAGTGTCTGGTACTTGATCTATGAATGATCAATGTCTATTGAGTTTTTGAAACAATTAAGAAATACCCATGTAAGAAATAATCGAGGAAGATAAGTATATTATTTTCTTTCTGATTTAAATTGGGCGTAGCTGGGGGCCAAGCTAGATTCAAAAGTAGGAGGCTAAACAAGGGTGGAACGAAATGAAGTATGCTATTCCGGGTGGTTATATTATAGGGCTTTTAGTTTATCTCATTCCAAACATAGTTCCCCTTTTACCTGGTTTCTGTGAAACTGGAAAGAACGATCATTAATCAGTTAAGTAGTAAGCACATGAGCACTTGGTATGTCAAAGCCATCAATGTACAATGGAGATTAGGAGTGATGGATGATGGGATAACAAGTTTAATTTCCCCCCTGCCAAAAATGAAAAATTTAGGTGGTTCATCGAAAGGGTAGATATAATACAGATAAGGAGTTCAGGTTGTCAAGGAGGGGCAATGGAAAATTTGAGGGCTGCTTAATATGCTAGCAAAAGCATCAGGAGATGGCTAAATTGTGCAAAGAATTGTAAGGCACAAGAATTACCTTTTCAAAATCAAGTGGTCTCTAAGACTTCATTAATTAACTCTTATACACACTTAGCTAATGGACAACCGCCATATCAGATGGCATACAATAACTACTATTGCTGTCTACAGTTGGATCAAGCACAATAGTGTGTTGGGTCTAGTTGGTCATTAGCGTAATGATGAATAACCCTCAATGCAGAGGACTGTGCTGTCCATCAGTATTGGGCAAATTTTCATCTACTTTTCAGAAGGGCTTTGAAAGTTTTCTTTACACTTTGTCTCCAACCCTGTAAAAGTACTCTTTTATAGCTTAATAATGTATTGGACCCATTAGAATCTAGTTTAAAGTCTAAACCTAGAAAGTGAGTATCTTAAGCACAACATGTGGGCCTTTTTATGCATAAGGCCAAGGGTTCTTTATGCTTTCCGTTCCATTTCTTGCATGGGACCTAATAAAGGATTATCAAAGTCATTCCATGGGTGGACCCTGCCGCCTTCACTTACTTGATGAAGGAAACATTAAATCCATGAACTGTCTACTGAAAAAAAAAATTATATTTACTAGTACTAAGATACATACCAAGCATTCAGATGTCTTGATATTTGCTCAGGGAACACAATTTTGTGTGTGTGTGTGTGTGTGTGTGTGTATTGTTTAGAGTTCATGTTGTGCTGTTGCTGCTCATGCTTTCATCATCCAAGTAGTATCTGTGACAATCCATCGAGAAAGGCAATTTTATAATTTTTTTCCTTTGCCATATAGACTAATTCATAGTCTATGTATGAACACTCCATTTATTTTCTTAATTAGATTCTAGCATTCCCTAAATTCAATAGTTTAGGTGAAGTCAGTCTGTTGGATTACTTTAATAAATAGGAAATAGCTGAGGTCTATCTTTATCTCCTGACTAATTTGACAGAGCTGGATGAGAAGACAAAAGCAATGCTGAAATTAGTTGAGGAAGATGCAGACTCTTTTGCTCAACGTGCAGAAATGTATTACAAGAAGCGGCCAGAGCTAATTAACATGGTTGAGGATTTTTATCGCGCCCATCGCTCATTAGCTGAGCGATATGATCAAGTCAAGTCTGAATCTGGGACTCGCCTCTTAACACAGTGGGCTTCCCCAGTATCTGTCACCAAATATCAACCCGAGAAGTCGATGAGCTCCATGGATAAAGCCTACGATAGCTACTCTGAAACCTATGACCCTGCGGAGTCTGGTGAGTCTGATGTTGAGGATCCTGAAGAAGAAGAAGAAATCGTCATAGTCCATAAAGAAATAGAAGAGGAAATTTCAAGTGGAGTTGGCAATGAAGAAGTCATGAAGCTGACGGAGGAAATAGAGGCGCTCAAAGAAGAGAACCGGATTCAAAAGGAACAACTGATACAGAAAGATGAAGAGAAAAGGGAGGTAATAAGGCAGCTCAGTTTAGCTGTGGAGATGCTGAAGGAGGAGAATGTGAAGCTGAGGAAGAAGGGGGTTGCTAAACAGACATCATCCAATAATAAACAGAGCCCCCTCGAGTTCGCCAAATTGAAGGAGTCATTTTTGGGGAAATTGTTCAATCTTTCCAAAATCATCGGTTAGTATTGTTGCTCTCTAGATGTGGTTGCATGCCACCATGTAAAATCTGTGTAGCACAATTGGAGAGGGTTCCCCTTTGAACTAAAACTGAGTTAATAGGTACTATCATTTGTAAAAGTAGTTACAGTCATTTTGATACTATTTCTATATCTGTATCTATGTGAATTGAATCTTCATTGGGTAATGTTCTTCAGTTAGTAGATTCTTTTGCTTTGTTCTTTTACAAGTCAGTTCTATGTTATTGTTACGACTTATGCGTAATGTTATTGAAACCTAACATCAAAGAAAATCGAAAAACTTATAACATTAATTGGAGAGCTGCCCTCCAACCATACCTCACATATCATAGAAGCTGCATGATCTTTTACACACCAGAGAGCTGAATTAACAAAAATGTTGGGAAACCGAAAACAATCACTGAAATTAGACGTGTAGCCTTCAATACATTCAGACGAACAGCGGAGGAAGCTGGCAGAGATAATCCAGACGGTGAAAGGGCCATTGTAGGCACAGGAGCAACCATTATATCCGGATTTGGAGGGCTGGGGCTAGAAGGTATGGTGGAAGGGGGGGGGGGGGGGGGGGGGGTAAGGACTCATTAGATGGAGAAAGCTCTGGACCACCAGGTAAAGGAAAGAGAGGACTAATGTCTGGAGATAAAGTAGGAGGATTTGGCAACAATGCTGGTGTAGCTGAGATGGTTGAGGCTGGTGGCCTGTAATGTCAGTGGTAAGGTTAGTGAATATGAACAGGGCATGATTAATATCATAGCCCATACCAGTACTGACCTTATGCAAGCCATTAAATGATTGAAAACCAATGCTGCAATCAATGTCTTTTGTTTTGTTTTGTTTTGTTTTTTTTTTTTTTTTTTGAGGAGAGAGAGAGAGAGAGAGAGGATGGAATGAGGAAATAATAGACTCTTGAGGATTGAAGGATTAAAAGGACAGCGAGAGAGGTCATGGTGGGGACGGAATGGTGGGTACCAAAGGTTTATTGATACAGATGGGCATGTTTTGAAAAGGGACAATATCAAGCTCAAGAATACCTCAAATGGTAACATAGATGGACTGTAAACGCGGACGTCCTGAGTTTAAATATTGACAACTCATTAGGGTTAAACTATAAGAGATTTATTTCTCCTGAATATCTTAGTCCCAATGTGAATGATCTGCCTTTGATCGGACCAGAAAAGAGATTAATCGAGATACAAATAAACTGGTCTGAACACCCCTTAACCATTGAACCAAAAAAAAGGGCATTATCGATTTTAGAATTTTATTGGGGGACATGAAGATAAATTGGTGACTGTGTGGTTTTGCCCTAGTGGTTGTTGCTGCCATTCATAGCCTGTGGAAGAATTCTTTCCAGGGAGAATGCTAAAAAGAAATCCAGCTGAAAATATTGGAAGTGATTCCCTTCATGGTGCTGAAGAACCAAAACAAGAAAGAGCAAATCATGGCAAATTGTCATTTGATTACATTTTAATTGCAGAGCACAAGCCTTCTGCTATGGACATACACAAGTCCTCCTTAAATCACTCCCAACGGCTAGTGACCCATAAACATAGTTTGTAATATTTCTTTCCTCCTTTCTTGCCATTTACCCCTTGTAATTGATAGCAGCAATATATATATGAGACAATGAACAACTCTCACATGGGTTCGGCCCCTCTGCAGTTTGTTGGTTATCGTATGATATGCGGTTAAGTGGAACGACACCATTTTGGTTGCTTTTTACATTTTTTTTAATAGTTCTTACCAAAAACAATGTCATTTTTTGTCCTTCTAATCAACATCTGAAATCTCTTCTTCCTCGTCAAACCGACTACTTCTCCCGCCTTCTTCTGAATTCATTCTCTGTCTTCTTCTTCGTCAAATGCAGTGAATGCCAAAAGCCAGGTAAGAGAAGGAGACTTGGATGGAGATGGGGCTATCAATGAATTTGAATTCTGTGTTTTAATGTTTAGGTTGAGTCCTGAGTTAATGGATATTTGGAGCTAAGAGATTGTTTGATGAAGCTCTTGATTAATAAAAATAATGGAATAATGAAGCCAATTTCTTTGTACATGTTTTTTTTTTGGTTCTTGTTGGCTTGTTAATGAATCGGGTAGTGTCATATTTTGTGTTTTTTGATCTTGCTGGCTTGTTAATGGATTGGATAATGTCATGTTTTAAATTGTAAAACTGTTGTTGAGTTGAAATATAAATCTTATAATACAATTTATGTTGGGTTTGATTAATTTGTTTAAGAATTATGTAACCTCATGTACATGACATTTAGATTTCTCTTTCTCTTTTGATGTGACATCTAGAGAATAGGATACCAAGTGTTGGCTTTAATTCATTCTCAATACTCTGCCAATTCCATCTATGAATGTAAGTAGCCATAGAAGATGTATGCAACCTATTGTTTATTAACAAAGCCAGTATGCAGTTGCTGCTAGTTTGATTTAATTTTTTTAAATGTCATACATATATTATGTGTTTCATTCACCACATAATGTCATTTCAATTAAATTTCTTATTGTAGGATGTTATGATGGATGATTTAGGAGTTAATGCGAATGAGAATAGACCTCATATTGATATGCAATTTGATGCAGAGAAAGATGCTTATGTGTTTTACAATAATTATGGAGGTCTGTGGGATTTAGCGTGAGAAAAGATTTTCAGAATAACAGTTCAAAAGATGGCGTTGTCATTTATAGAAAATATTTTTATTGTAAACAAGGTCAAAGGGTTTATGATAAAAGAGAGTGATAAATAAGGAAACCTTGAGTAGAGACACGAACAAATTGTCAAGTTTATATGTGCATATCTCTTAATAGAGAAACTGAAAAATTTGTTGTAGTGAAATGGGACGACAACCACAACCATCCTTTGCACCTTGCTAAATGTATGCATATGATGTCATCTTAACGGAAGGTTACTGGAACACAAGACATTAATATTGATATGGCAATGGATTGTGGAATATCACTTAAGACTTCTTATGAACTTTTAAGTATTTAGTCGAGAGGAAAAGAAAGTCTAGGTTTTATTCGTCAAAATCAAAAGAATTACCTTCATGAAAGGAGGCAACGAGACTTAAGGTATAGTGAGGAGGGTAGTTTGTTGAAGTATTTTCAAATTTAAGCAGTTAAAACTCCATCATTTTATTATGGAGTGCAATTAGATGTGGAGGAGCATATTACTAATATTTTTTGGACTGACCCAAAAATGATTATTGATTATGACAACTTTGGAGATGTTGTCTCATTTGACACTATTTTCAGAACGAACAAGGAATATCGACCATTTGTTTGTTTTACTGACTTCAACCATTTTTGGGAGACAGTCTTTTTTGGAGCTGCATTATTATATGATGAAACGACAACATCATTTTAGTGGTTGTTTGAGACATTCCTATAAGCTATGTCTAGGAAATATCCTGTTACAGCTTCACCGACCAAGATCAAACGATGGCTAAAGTTATTTATATAGTGATGCCAGAGACATACCATAGGTTATGTTGCTGTCACTTTTGCTAAAATGCTTTGAAACGTTTGGGGAATATATATAAGGATGGTTCACATTTTCTTACTTGATTTAAAGAGTGTGTGTATGGATATAAAGAAGAACATGATTTATTTGAGACTTGAGAATCGTTGCATACAGAGTATAATTTGTATGATAATATGTCGATGAAATCCATTTAGGCATTACAAGAGAAATGGGGCCATGTGTAAATGAAGAGGACTTTCACTGTAGGAATGAGAAACACCCAACTGAGTGAGAGCTTGAGCGCAACCTTACGGAAGAACTTAAAGTCAGACCATGACATTGTTCAATTCTTTATACATTTTGAAAAAGTTGTGAATAATAAGCAGTATAAAGAGTCAGACTCAGAATATTAAACTAGGCAAAAATTACCTAGATTGAAGTTAAAAAGAAATTCAGTGTTAGTACAAGCGGGGCAAGTGTACACTCCTACTATATTTGAGCTGTTTCAAGATGAGTATGATATCTTTCAGTGTGCCATTGCGACACCATGTGATGTGTTGGATGAGTGACATCAATTTGTGGTTCGATTATTTGATGAATAAATAGAGTATTTGATCTTGGTTAAGGCTAATGAGGAGATAGTCAATTGTAATTGTTGGAAGTTTGAAATAGAGAGAATATTATGTAGTCATACACTTAAAGTTTTGTACATGATAAATATTAAACAAATTTTTGAGCAATATATATGTAATAGATGGAGACTAGATGCAAGACAGAGTTGTAGGAAAGCCTCCATTTCAATGTCAAATGAATAGGATCACAAGTTAATGGTAGCGTCACATTACAGACAGCTTTATCCTAGAATGGTAAAACTAGTTGCTCGATGCTATAGTCCTCAACCTGCATATCAATTGGTGTCACGTGGTGTTGAGAAATTGTTTAAACAAGTGGATAATATGTATGCATCAATTGGTGATGGTGGCGATGATTCAATCCATGAAGAAGGAACAGAAAATGTTGACCCAAATATTCTCCAAGTTAAAGGTTTAAAAAGAAAAGAAGGAGGTTACAAGTTGGGGTCGACTAAAATCTTGGCATGAGAAAGCAACAAAGAGAAAAAATGGAGTTTTCCAACCATCCCATATGTCTACGGTATCGTATAAATATAATTGTAGATTTTTTTTAATTCACTTCATATTTTTATAAACATAAATGTACTTATCACAAGCTTCGGCATATTTTTATTCACTTTATATTTTTATAAACATAATTGTAAGTATTTTTATATTTCAGGTACATGGTTTCAGTCACCCGTATACATCAACATATGGTCATTCAAATATATTGTCTTGTCAAACTTCAAATAGTTTACAAAGTGTTATGACATGTTACCTTATTACTAATTTTATTGTTTCTCATATGTATCAAGTTTCTTTGTCTGACCCTTTCTCATTAATATAGGATACTCCAACTGATTTAACACATGTGCATTCTTTAAATGATGCTGAATCATTTTTCATGAATGGGGGATACAACTTGTAAGGATATTTGGGGGCTATTAGTTGCTTGTTGGATCATTTTGTTGAAAATTATTTATTTTGTATTTTTACTGAACATGATCATAATGTGTGATTGTGATTATACGCCATTTTTTTTAATGAATGTGATCTTTTTTTATGAACATGATCTTTTTTTATGAACGTGATGAT